CCAGCTGATGCTCATCATCAGGAGCCTGTTTTAAAATATATAGGTAGATCTCCCTGGCTGGGCTCAATCAAATGCACACTTGGGGAGCTGCCACCACCACATCCTGTGTCTAGCTCTCTCCCTCCCTGTGCTGTGTGTGGCGGAGGAGCTTGCACTTTTCTCTGCTGCAGTTTAATTCCACTTTGCTTGGCTCTCCAGGCGAGGGGAGATCAACAGGCAACCCACGGCTGGATGCAGAGATTTGGAAATCATCATACTACTACTACTACTAATAATTATAAAAAAAAAAGAGGGGAAGGGGGGGAACCAAAGCCCCCAGCATACACACACACGCGCTCAATACCTCTTGCTAAAAGGGAAACAGGCTCTGCATTCACAGGGCTGTGCTAAGTGCCTCTCTTTTCTTTCTATTCAGCATCTCCTTCCAATGACACTGCCTCCTAGTCCTCTTCATTTAGTGGGGAAAAAGGAGGAGGAAAAGGGGATTGAGGGGAAGCAATTTTGGCTCTACATAAAGTGACAAATGTGATCATCGGCTAAGTCTCCCCCCATTCAATTCAGTGTTTGGTGTGGTGCATTTTGCAGTCTTGAATAGTCTCTCTGGGCATCTTGGTACGAGAGGTGGTGCTGGGGAGAGGGGTGAGAAGAGCCTGATGGCTGGTTTTCCTTCCCCAGTGGTACTATGTAGAGGTAAATATGGAGGGGAGGGGAGGGGAGGGGGGGGGTGTTAAATTTTTTTTTTTTATTATTCTTATTTCAGGTCTTTTTAAACAGCCAGAAATAAATGAATGACACATCCAGAAATGCAAGGTGTTTCAATCAGCTGGATGAGTCAGATCCAGCGGAACAAATCACAGCCACTATCGCCTCATGTTCCTCCCTTCACAGACATTAGTTGCAGCTTCTTCCTAACGCTTCTCTGACTCACTCTCTAGACAGAAAAAAAATCAGATGCATGGTTTGAAGCAGAAAAAAAATAAAGGCGGGGTGGGGGGGGGGAAGAGGGGGGGGTGTTGGATCCAGCTGCACTTTTACTATACCTCTTTCTCCGGGAGACTGAGGATCAGGAAAACAAGGCTGTTATCCACGTCGGGCTCCTGCTTTGCTGAGTGTTTTTTTTTTTAACCCCCTTTCAGTGCTATGTGTGAAACACCCAAGATCTCTCCCACTGAAAGAAACAACAAGAACAAGAACAACAAAAAAGAATCACAGGCTTCCAGTCACTGCTCCCAGCTCTCAGTTCTGCACTGGGGGGGTGGGTGATTTTTTTTTTTTTGTGGGGGGGGTTGATTTTTTTTTTTGGTCTCCCCCTCCTCTAAACTGGAGTCCGCCCCCGAGGCAAGGAGAGGATCCTGCGAGGTTGGCTGCTTAAAAAAAAAAAAAAAAAAAAAAAAAAAAAAAAAAAAAAAAAAAAAA